GCCGGGCTGGCCCCGCTGCGGAGGCCCGGGGCGCCCTCACGCGAGCAGGGCGGCCGCCACGGCCGCCGCGAGCGCGCCGAGGAGGGCGGCGCCGGTGCGGGGAGAGGCGCCGCTGCGCTCGGCGGACTCGCCGGAGAAGACCACGAGCTCCTGGGGGATGCCATCGCTGCCGCCCACGCGCATGATGACGTGCTTGCCGCCCTCGAAGGGCGACGGGATCCATGCACGGGTCCACCAGCCCTGGCCAGGGCCCTCCTGGGCCCCGGGGCGGCCCCCCGGCTCGGCCAGGGAGGCATACGCACCGACCCTGGGCCCAGGAGGGGCCTGGCCAGTGGCAGGGGAGTTGTGTACAGATCTCGCTGGACCTCGGCGGCCGTCAGGGCGACCGTCTTCACGCTCTTGCCGCTCGCGTCGTCCAGGCTGACCTGGTAGGCTCCCGCGGCAAGGGTCACGGCCGTGCCGGGCTTCAGTTGCACCGCCTCGGCGCGCCTCTTGTTGCCCTGCGCGATCTTCAGGGCGCCCTGCGAGCTGCCGTCGTAGGCGTCGACCACCGCGACCTGCGCGCTCTCCTGCGCGACGGAGAACGCGTGGGAGTAGAAGGTCGCCGCCATGGTGCTGTTGCCCTTGCGGTACGGCACCAGCAGCAGCGACGTGGGGGCGAAGGGGAGGTTGCCGACGTGGAACGTGCCGACGCTGAGGCCCCCTAGCTTGAAACCCGCCGACCCCTTGTGGGTCTCTGGGCGTGCGAGATTCTTCCCCCCGCTGCAATCCCACCCTGGCCCCCAAATAGGAAATCCCCCCCATGGCAACGCACGACACCTGCACAAACGCATCATGGGGAGATAGAGGGCCACAAAACGAGCCAAGAGGCTTCCAAGAGGCCCCCAAGACTGTCCAAGAGGGCCCCCGAGTCGCCGAAAGATCGTTCGAAGACGCCCAAGATGACCTCCAGACGGCCCAAGATGCCTCCAAGACGCCCCAAGACGCCTCCAAGAGGCCTCCCAAGAGGGCCCCAAGAGGCAGCATTCATTAATTCCCATTCGGTGTTCGAAAGATTTCGGCGTTCTCGCCTTGTCGGTTTCCCGACGCTCCAAGACGGCCCAAGAGGCCCCCAAGATCGCCCCAAGAAACCCCCGAAAGGTCTCCAAGAGGGCCCCAAAACAGCCCAAGAGGGCCCCAAGACGGCACATGAGGTCTCCAAGACGGACAAAGAGGGGGCCCAGACGGAGGACCTGAACAAACATTGCGAGCCCTCGGCTTCGAGAGGCCCCCAGAAGGCGCCGAGCGGCCCCCAAGATGCCTCCACGAGGCCCCCTGGAAGCCCCAAGAGGCTGCAAAGAGGCTTCAACCAGGCTCTCAAGAGGCCCCCAAGAAACTCCCAAACGGCCCCCAAACTGCTCCCCCACAGGCCCCAGAGCGCACTCTGAACCCCAAGAAACACCCCTGAAGACTCTGACCCAACACCCACGCGCGGTGGCAGGACGGGCCAGGGACCATCCGATATCCGCCGCCCCCTGTGATCTTGCCACAGGAGGGCCTGGCGTGGTAAATCCTGGTGGTTTGGTTTTGGCCTTTTTTCCAAAAGAACTCCCTGGGGCTTCAGCCCGTCCCGCCGGCCACCTGGAAGGAACTGGAAACAACCTCAACGTCCGGGAAAAATCCCCGAAGACGGCCCAAGGTGGACCCAAAGAGAGCCCCAAGGCGGCCGCGAGAGGCCGACAGGATGGCCTCCGAAGGGGCCAGACGGCGCATGAGCGCCCGAAGACGGCCCAAGACGCCCCCAAGAGGCCCAAAGAAACCCCAAAGAAGCCCCCAAGAGGCCCCAAGAAGCCCCCAAGAGGCCCCAAGAAGCCCCCAAGAGGCCTCCAAGAGGCCCAAAAGAGGCTCCGCAACGACTGGACTGTGCGTGCTCTAGACGTGCACCCCGAGAAGCGAGAGGAATCCACGTCCGGAGGTGACGTGGTGAGCGGCAGCGTGTTCCGCGGATGCTGTAATGCAACGTATCCAAGATAACCAATGACTGCGCAATTGCTACATATTGTGCTGTTTTAAATTGTAACGTCGCCCACCTAGCCTCCCCCCAGAGGACACGCCACTCCCGCCGACCCAAAAGTGGAGGACACCTTCTGGGCCCCAGAACCGACAAAAATCCAAGGAGCATATCTGATTTGGGCTCCTTGGGCCTCCTGCGGGTCTCAGAGGGCGTCGGGACGGCTCAAGATGGCCTCAGTACGGGCCAAAACGGCCCTACGACAGTCCAAGATGACCCAGAAGGCCCACAAAGCACCCAAGACGGCCGAACAGGGCCCCAAATCATTGATGGTCCAATGGTTTTTACATGACATTCGCGTTCCCACCTTCTCGACTCTGAGAGGCCCATGACGGCCCAAGCAACCTCCAAAATGGCGCCAAAACCTCTCCAGAGGCCCCCAAGAAGGGCCCAAGACGGCCCGTGAGGGCCCCTATCTGGCCCAAAGAGGCCCCAAGACGATCCAAGAGGCCCCCAAGACGGCCCAAGAGACCTAAGGCGGCGCAGAAAGGCTTCCTAAACAAATTCCGGAGAGGCCAGGCGGCGCTCCAAGACGGCCCAAAACGCTCCCAAGAGGCCCCAAGAAACCCCAGAAGCCCACCCAAGACGGCCCAAAACGCTCCCAAGAGGCCCCGCCCCCCCAAGAGGCCCCAAAGAGGCACCCAAAGAGGCTCCGCAACGACTAGACTGTGCGTGCTCTAGACGTGCACCCCGCGAAGCGAGAGGAATCCACGTCCGGAGGTGATGTGCTGAGCGGCAGCGTGTTTCCGCGGATGCTGTAATGCAACGTATCCAAGATAACCAATGACTGCGCAATCGCTACGTATTTGCTTGCTTTTCAGTAACCCAAAAGTTGAGAACACCCTCTGGGCCCCAGAACCCACAAAAACCAAAAGGGGGACTGAGAAAGCGTCAAGAAGGCTCAAGATGGCCTCAGTACGGGTCAAAACGGCCCCAAGACATTCCAAAATGGCCCCAAGAGGGCCCAAAAAGCCGCCCAAAGAGCACCCCCAAGAGCGCCTCCAAAGCCAAAATCATTGATTTGTAACGTTCTCGCCTTATTCGACCTGCGGAGACCCATCACGGCCCAAGCAGCTTCCAAGATGACCCCAAAACGGCCCCAAAGGCGGCCCCCAAGAAGCTCGCAAACGGCCCCTCGAAACCACCGAGAGGCCCACGGAATTGTACACGAATGGCGTGTTGCTGCTATGCTTATCGGAATTCGAACTTCGGCGTTACCTTGTGCCGACACTCTGCGAATCTCGTTGCCCTCGTGGGCATGGGTACGCTCGTTCCGGCGCTGAAGCGGGGGGGAGCGCATCCGCCCCTCGTGGCGCTGGCAGCGCCCAGGGGCGGGCAGAACGACACAGCCGAACGTCGCGGCAGACGAACGAGGCACAACATCCCACGCCCAGTCTTTACGTGCTCCGAAGGTGCACCCCGCGGAGCGAGAGGAATCGATGCGCTCGCTGTCCGCCAGCTCGAGGACGATCTCCTTGCAGGCCTTGTAATGCAGCGGCTCCTCCGTGAGCTTCGCCTTCTGGTTGACGGTGTAGACGCTGAGGGGCTTGCTCTCCGCGTAAGCGTTGCAGACGGTCAGGTTGTGCTGCACGCCCACGTCCTGGACCTGCAAGGCGGAGCCGGCGGAGGCCAGGGCGTAGAAGGTCAGGGCACGGAAGGCAGCCATCGCCGCGAGTAGCGAGGGGGTCTGCTTTGTGCGAATGGACTCCAGCGAACGGCAGATGCGCGCTTGGATCAAGACGGCTTGAAGGGAGTGGTTGCGGAGGGGCGGCCGGGGCGAGGAGGAGAGGGAAGGAGAACGGGGAGGGCAAGGTGGAAAGTGGGGGAAAGAATGTTGGAAGTGAGGATGAGCAAGGTGATGGAGCAAAGGGGAAAGGTGATGAGAAGGAAACACTCCCCAGCGAAAGGCCCAACTCTGTGCAGCTGTGCGTAACGCAGGGCATGGCCCTCACCTCATATACCATGCGCTGTACAATGCATTGAGTTCGGGTCCCTATGGGGGCACGACAACTGTGAGGGCTGTGCCGCAAGTTGCTTGGGCGGCATGCGCGCGCCCAAACGGCCGTCGGTGGAGCTCCGATGGGGGCACGAAGCATGTGAGGAGCGCACCGGAATTGGCGGGGGGCTAAGGGACACGACGCGAGTGAAAAACGTGCCGGAATGGGCGTGGGGCCGCATGCGCCCGCGCCGATCTGGGCCGTAGGTGGATCCCTCCATAATGGGGGCACCAGGCCGAAGCGTGTGAGGGGGTGTCCCGACATGGGCGCGGGGCGCCATGTGCCAGCGCACCCACTGGGGCCGCAGGCGGAACTCCCGCGCCGGCATGGGGTTCGCTATATGGGGCTCGATCCGTGTGGATGGTGTGCCTCAATGGGCGGGGGGGCGCATGCGGCATGCGGTGCCCCCCGCGCCACCGCCACCACCACCACCGCCACCACCGCCACCACCACCACCACCACCACCGCCGCCCGCCCGCCCGCCCGCCCACCCACCCACCCACCCACCCACCCACCCACCCAGCTCTCGCTCACAAGCCACACGTCGCCCGTCGCGCGGGCAGGAATACAAGCGCCAACAGTTGCATCCGGAAATGGACGAAACGCGGCACCGACTGAATAGAGAAAGACGAGGTGGTGGAGGAGGTGGAGGAGGAGAACGAGGGAGAGCGAGAGGGAGGGAGGGAGGGAGGTAGGGAGGGAGGGATAAGGGAGACAGAGAGAGAGAGAAAACAAAAAGAGAGAGAGAGGGAAAGAGAAACAACAAGAGAGACACACCCAGACACACTGACAGGCAGGCAGGTTGGCAGGCAGGCAGGCAGGCAGGCAGGAAGTCAGACAGACAGACAGACAGACACACGGACAGACAGACAGACAGACAGACAGACAGACAGACAGACAGACAGACAGACAGACAGACAGACAGACAGACACACAGGCAGACAGACAGACACACAGACAGACAGACAGACACAGAGACAGAAAGACACAGAAAGACAGACAAACCGACCGACAGACACACAGACAGACAGACATAATTAAAGATACACAGACAGACAGACAGATATAGAGAAACATATAAAGAGAGAGAGAGAGAGAGAGGAGAGAGAGGGCGAGTTCGAGAACAAGAGCGAAAGCGGGAGCGAGAGAGAGAGCGAGAAGGAAACAAAAACGAGCGAGAGCGAGAGCGACAGCGGGAGAGAGGGAGAGTGTTAGAGAGAGAGAGAGAGAAACAAAAAAAAAACAGCAACACAACAACAAGATAGAGAGAGAAACAACAATAGAGAAAGAGACAGAGAGAGAGAGAGAGAGAGAAAGAGAACGCGCGCGCAACACTTCGGACGGCAAGTCTGTCTAGACCCCGAACCCGCCCCGGGTCCATACAAGACCGCGCCACCTCCAGCGAGGGCCGGACAAACCGTCCCGCGCGTTCGATGCTTACACACGGCCCCGGGTCGCCACAGCGTCCTTCGGCATGGTCTGCTCGGGGCGGCCGTGGAACGCTCGCAGCCGTTCCCGCCTCCGTTCCTCGCCCACCGCCTGGCCGACGAACTCCTGCCGCGGG